GCAGTGGGGAGGAAGGCAGAGGTGCCCTCCGGTCTAACGCGGCCTTCGGAGACGTGTTTGGGCCTGGCTGTGTCCCCGTCACGCCACACCACGGGCATCCGTTCACGGCCGGCCTTCTCCTCTCGTTCTTTGTAGGCTGACCCAGGTGAGGTGGAGCCGCTACAGCCCCAGTTTCTTAGAGCCAGAAGTGAACAAGGAATTGTATCAGAAACCTCAGGAAGAGCTGTCTGAGGAGGAAAAGGCAAAGCTGGAGCTCAGGGCTGTTCGACTCATAAAAGCTGCACCTCCCTCTCTCTCCAGCTCTGTGTTCGGCGACCCCATGATCAGGTCAGAGAAAGCATCATCTCCTCCTCTGTTACAGCCAGATTCCATGAAACCACAACGGGTGGGAGCTGTGCTGCCCTCCTCAGCAGTCCCTTGCGCTGCCCGTAACCTTCTGTTACAGCACAGTCCCTTTATTCAGGTTAATCTTTTCCCACAAAGCCAGTCCATTGACTGACAGTGATTAAAGATAACTCCAGCAAATCCATCGGCACCCAGATTTAACGATGGGAACAACACAAGGTGGGGGGGATATTTCTGTGGGTGATAAAATCGGAATTTAAATCAGGTTGCATTTGGCTCTGTGTTTACAGTAAATTCACCAACATGATGATGAAGGATGGAAATAAAGTGCTGGCCAGAAGCCTCATGGCTCAGGTGAGAACTCATGTTTCTTCTCCCTATTATGTTGAAAACAATACAAAATGGAAGGCTGGGACATCAAGCTCACTGGAATGAGGAATATTTCCCTCTGCATACACATTACTCTCACCATTATTTTATGTGATAAGACAGATGTTTTGTACAAGCCCCAGCCTCATTTAGCTCACAGGCCAGGTGGTGATAGCTTAATGGAGAGCGTTATCTTCAGTATCTCTTGTACTGCATAAACTCAGAATACCCTTAAAAGCATCATCTTTTCAAAAAGATCTTCCTACCAGCTCTTTCATGCCTTATCTTCTGTACAATGAAGTCCCACAAATGTGTCATCTCTATGACACAGCTTTGACCCCTGCCTTGACCTGCAGTAACGGGCATTAGCTGGTGGCCCCATCTGGTGTGTTCCACCCTTGAAACGGGGATAGGCATTGCCCAAATGTTCCCCAAGGAACTGCTGATTCCTTGTGATAGAAAAAGATTCAGGCTCTGGGCTCTTCAGTCCAGGCTTTGGAGGGAAGGATGAGAAGTGCACACAGACCTGTATTCTTGTCTCTGCTTTTTCCCTGCTCTTCCCTGGCTCCTGGCCCAGGTTCGTGCTACCTGGCCTCTTCGCCGCAAACACAATGTCTGATAAAGAGACTGAAGAGCTGGAAAAGCGTGAAGTGAAACTTGTTTTAGAGAATCCCTGACTGGCCTGTTGCTTATAGGGCTGCTCAGGTCAGAGTGGGCTGCTTGTAAAAGTGATGTAACTTCATGGGGTGGGATAATCCGTCTGCTTTGCACATCTCCTTTCTTGTCTTTGTCTTTCCCAAGACTCTAGAGGCCATTAAGAGGAAGCAGTTGGAGAAGTACCACAAGGCTCCAGAAGCTGAGAAGGAGACAATTGAATGCAACCCTTATGTCATTTTCCACCAGGCTCTGAAAAACTGCCAGCCCATCATTGGGCTCAGCAGCATCACAAGAGGAGGCAAAACCTACCAGGTGAAACGGGGGACCCTGGGAGCACATCTGGCTGGGAGAGAACTGGCTAGGAAAGCAGATGAGCTGGTTTCCACCCCTTCAGCTCAAGCTTTCCCATCCTTGGAAAGAGGGAGCCACTTTCCAGTCTGGGTTGAAATAGCAGCTAGAAACTGTCCAGGATCAGGCCTCCAGCCTGTGAGCAGGGTAATTCCCCTGTCAGCAGCAGTTTCTGCTTCTCTGCCTAGATCAGGAGTTCACAGCAAATGTTGTCCAAGGAGACAGATATCAGTGATGGGAAGCAAAAGAACTGGCAGTCTTAGGACTATCAGTCCCATCCTCTGCTCCATGATGTTGCCTGGAGAGAGGTCCCAAAGCCCTGGAGCCGGTCACCATAGCAGAAGGTCAACCACATACAGTGCGATATCTAAAACAGGACAGAACGTGTCTTTAGGGGTTCTGCAACACACGAGACCTGATGGAGAAATGAGACGTGGAGGCGTTTCTCTGTCATCAGCTGAAGGGAAGTAGTGCCCATCAACTGTCTCCCACCTCTGCTAGCACAAACCAGCCCGGATCCAGCTCCCAGACAGGCCAGAAATCCTCACAGAGGCCAACGTCTGCTGGCTGTACCCAAGGCTAATCAGAATTTCTGTTTTGATGGCAATGGCCAGTTTCTATGGGCAGAGGAGGTGAATTGGCACAGAATAGCTGTTGGGAGCTGGTCTTACTGCAGAGAGTAGCACGCTGCTGGTCTGCACATGTGCATCTGGACTTGTATGACTGCTGGAGAAGAACAGGTTACTACCCCCTCACCATGCAATAACAGGATTTTAACTTTTCCCAGGTCCCGGTCCCTCTGAAGGACAATCGGAAACGCTTCCTGGCCATGAAGTGGTTAATCACTGAGTGCAGGGAGAACAAGAAACGTCGGACGCTGATGCCTGAGAAGCTCTCTCAGGAGCTGCTCCAGGCCTTCAAGAACGAAGGGCCCATCATCAAGAAGAAGCACATGCTGCACAAGATGGCAGAGGCCAACCGGGCTTACGCCCACTTCCGCTGGTGGTAGGGACTCTGTGCACGGGACACGGTGCCACCACGGCCTGGTGAGCAGAACCCCCGGGCTGGCTGCCTCAGAGAAGCTGTGGAGAAGAGGGGAAGGTGGAGGATCCCTTCCAAACAGTCTCTGAACTAAGGCAGGGACAACCCATCCGATCCCCATAAAGTTAATTTCCTTTGTGCTTGTTTGGATGGGGGAAGGGGGAATCTGAAAGAGTTACCGACCTCTGCACAGATGTTCTAGTTATTTCCTAACCACTTTCCTGTGAAGACAAGCCTTAGATGTTTTTCTTGGAGCAATGCTGTTCAAAATAATCTTCCACTTACCTGTTTCCTGGGGACTTGTAAGTCTCTCTGCTCCTGTAATCAGCGATGTTTTTGGCTGCACAGCTATGAGCAGAGCCGGATTTTTTTTTCCACACCATAACCAGCCTCAGCGTGATTGGTACAAAAGGCAATAAAAGGCCCTTTTTGATTGTTGCTTCTAGTCATCAGCAGCATTGTCTGCACAGATGTGATGGGAATGTTAACAGAAAAAATAAAACCAGGTTTATGGGGAAGGTTTCCTGATTCCAAACCTTTGTCTCTGTTGGCCAGTTCTCACTGCTCTTTCCAGCTACCCTGGTTTCGTAAAGACACCCTACACCGGAGGAGAAAATGAGTAGCACAGCCTTAGGGAGCAACATTTAAGTATTGTTCATAGCTGCATAGAGAGAAAGCAGGACACGTGTTAGTGGAAAACTTTTATTAGAAAAAAATCCTTCAATAGACTATTTTGTTTTGTTTCTTCCTCTCCCATTCTTATAAGAAACATACCGTAGCTGAAACTCGCTAATTTCTGAAAAAACCATGACAGTTACTGTACAAAACTTAGAAAACCTGCTCCTAGCTACATGTGCTGAGGGACACGTCCTGCTGCAGGCTGCTCCATGGCAGGTACTGGTGGCTCATGACCCGTGGGGGCAGGCTGTGTGCATGCAGGAGCAGCCAGCGTGCTGGAAGGAGTCTGGGAAAAACAGCACTTGGCTGAGCTGCTTGTGAGGCCACAGTGTTTTCTGTGACTTGCCCCAGAGAACCAGGTACAACCTGAGGTAGAAGATCTCCCCACTGGCTCTCAGGTCAACCAAAATGTTCTCAGCCCAAACTCTGCTTTCCTTAACACCCACATAAAATGCTGGTTTGAGCTAGAAATTTTCCTTAGCCCATGCTGGCAGCAGCTCAAAATTAGACAAAATCAGTGGGAGAACTTGCTGGGTTAAATGTGTCCTTCCTACCTCTCCAGACCTCAGGCTAGAACCAGTTGCAACCCGACAGGCACAGGTACGTGCCCAGGGGCTCTAGCCAGTAGAAATCCTATTTACAGGAAGTGCTAGAAAAACATTAACATGAAAAGAAATTCAAACTTGGTATGAAGCTTGCTGGTGAAAGTGCTGGGGACATCTCTCCACCTCTGCTGTAGAGAGGTTAATCCGCCACTTCACTGTAATAATATTTCTGGGCAGCGTCCGTCATCTTCCAGTCGGCAGCCCGAAACTCGATGATCTCCAGCAGCAGGAGCTGGGACAGGGAGCTGAGCCCCTCCTGCAGAAGGAAGCCGTCTCGGAGGAGGGAGAAGAGCTCATCCATCCGCTGGGAGTTCATCTTCTCCAGCTGCTCGCCGATGCGATGGAGCTGCAGGACCAAGCAGTCCACCTTCAGAAGGAAGAGAAGACGGCTGAGTACAAAGGAGTGGGGAGCTCTGGCCCATCTCTGTGGAGGTCCCATCAGCCACTTATGGACCAGCTCAGCCTTTTCCCTCTGTTCTGCATTTCCAACAGGTGACAGGAGAAGCTGAATGTTTCTTCTGGCAAGAGCACTGGAAAAGCACATCCTGAACTCCCCTGTCTGCCAGAGAAATGCACCCGCAACAGGTGGAAAAACGTTAATTTCCTGCAGGATGTCCAAGAGATGATGGCAAGGCTGGAGCAAGGAGGTGCCTCCAAGAACAGATGGAAGTGGTTGGAACGTGAGCTAAAGCTCTTAGAAAGCCCTTTTTTGAACTGGTCCTTGGCCGGACAACAGGTGCATTAGCAGCCCCTCTTCCCTGCACTCACCTCTTCCTCCTTCTGCAGGCTGTCGGGCTGTGCCAGCCGGAACAGACAGTCGTAAACGGGGTTCACCAGAGCCATCATGGGCATGTTGTTCACCTGTAACGAGGCAGGAGCTATTGTCACCTTGGGGCCAGAAAGGGAGGAGATTGCAGCTGCTTTAACTAGTTGTTAACTAGTCCTTTGCTGCTCTTGAATTTCGCTGTGCTGCCAAATGCCCTATCGGTGGGATTTATGTACGAGACCAGATGTTCCAATCTCCAGGAACTGGAGGAGCTGAACAAATGATGTAAAAAACCATCTATTTTTAAATACGAACAGGTAGTCATGGGAAATACACTTGTTGCAACGGTGTTTTTCCTGCCTGCAGCTTTACTTGCATCATTTTTACATCTACTCCAGGCAGGCATCCAAGTACTGCAGCAAAGACCTGCGGAAAAACTCCATTGGTACGTGGGCTAGAAATCATGCGAGCACCCAGAGATCCTGCCCGGGACCTCACAGCAGCTGAACTAGTTCCATCTGGGAAACATTTGGGAAGACGCAAATCGGGGGATTTCAAACATGAGGTACAAAACAAAGAAGTTTGGACTTCATGACTCGTTCCCAGAGATGGCTCTGCCCCTCCAAGCCTGTTCGCCCACCCATAGGTAGCACCAAGCCCAGCAGTATCCTCACACCGAGAACCAGCTCGGTCCCCCCTGCAGCCACAGCCCTGGGCTCCATCCAACATCTGTCTGACACCCTTGTCTTGGTGGCGACAGTCCCCCAGGCCCTTCTGGCAAGCCCAGGCAGCAGCAGCAGCTCTGGCTCCTCACCCTCAGGTAGTCGAAGATGTTGCAGATGAAGGTGACGTAGCAGATCCATGCCTGGAGTGAGCGGGTGCGCAGCTCCTCCCTGTCCTTGTACTCCTGCTGCAGCCGGTTCAGCAGGCTCCTCCGGAAGATGCTCTGGCCAACTTGTTTGCTCTCTGCCTATGAACCCACAAAAGCAGGACAGGTGGGTGAAATGGGGCTGTGAGAGGGGAAGGGGGACGCTGTTACTTGGGTGATGCAGGACCAGGCAGATACTCTCCCATGATTGCCCAGAGAAGCAGGAAAACTGCAAGTAACTGTGCTTGCTGGCTGCTTGCCTGGATGTTGGCACCGCAAGCGGCAGAAGAGGAAAACTGGCTGGAGGGGCGTTCGGGCTGGAGAGAAGCCTCTCCTGGTTCAGCCCAGGGACAACCCATACGGCTTAAGTGTCCAGAAATGAGTAGCTCTCACCTGGATGATGGTGTAGCAGATGCGTCCCGCCTCCTTGCTGAACACGCAGTCTTTGAGGGACTGGTCCACTATAATATTGGCCACTTTCTCCAGGTCCACGTTGCTGGGGTCTGCAGAAAGGAGAAACACTGTCAGGACCCGGCACTCTTTGTGCTGTGCTTGCTTTAGGGTATCTGGAAAGCAAGGTTGGTGCAGGGCCTGGTACAACTGTGGCCCATGGTGCAAAACCTCGTGCTCATTTCCACTTCAAGAGTCACAGCCCGTCTGCACCAGCTGCTTTGGAGACACCATCCCCAAAGGTGCATGGTCCTCCCAGGCTAGAGACACAGCCGTCACAATGAGAAAGCGATGGAGGAAAGCAGATAATGCAGGAAACAAGAAGATGGTCTGAATCTGAAATCCCAGCACTGCTTCAAAGTTAGGTTAATGAAAGCCAGATGTGCAAACTCCTGCTTGGTTTTGAATACAGATGTGACTGGTGAGTGGGAGACTCCAGCGGCCAGCAGGATGAGACGGCCCTGCAGGAGGGAGAGACAAGAGAGCAGGGACTAGGCACTGGAGGGGGATGACACACCGTATCCGCGGAGAGATGCTGCATTAGAGCAGGAGAGGATGGTGCCCCAAAATCAGGGAAAATCCCAACAATGAGAGCCCAAAGCCGAGTTTGAACCGTGACACCATTAAACACTAGAGAGAGGGTCACAGGGGGCAGGAAGAGACAGGGAGCAAAGATGTTCCTGGAGAAGATTCATCAGTAAGACCCAGTCAGGGATGAATAGCATTCATAAAACAGCTTTCCTACACTTAGCAATTGGTGTTCCTAAAGGGATCCAAGCATCCGGCCTCATCTGCCAGCCCTGCCACACGTGGAAGAGGAGAAAGTAAAGAGCCTGCTAACCTTTGAGGGCTGTTTTCAGCAGCTTCTGAGTCTCGGTATCGAACGACTGTATTTTGTACTCTTCTTTGCCTGTTTCCCCCATGACTGGCTTCCTCCAAGGGCAACAGTCAGGCTAACAGATGGGCTAGCGACAGTTCCTGGGGAAAGAGCACACAGAGCTTAGTTGGCCAGAGAGGCAGACCTTCACCCGGCAAATCCCAGCTCACGCTGAGCACAGGCTGTTATCCTGAGAGCTCCCCACCCCAAGGAAACTCCTCTGTTATTAGGGCACTCAACTTTGGCCCTAGAACTGAGCAAAGCCTCACTCACACATCTTTTTAAGCCTTATTTTCTAGCAGTCTATGATAGGACTACATTTTCAGAGCCTTTACCTTTTTCTGATATGAAACATGTATTGCAGTCTTGTTGATCTGCAGGTTCACACGGAACAGCATACCCAGGCAGCCCAGAAATCTACCCATCTTCCCTCAGAAGGCTTCCCTGCAGCTGTATCACAGGGAAGCACACGCAGGAACACCCCGTGCAGCCGCTCCCTTGTGCCTCTGAAACA